ACCTCCTTAATATACTTTTGTTATATTGTGTATATGTTGTGTTATATTGTGTTATATTGAGCCTGTTGTGAAACAGTTTCGTATTTCATTATGGATCTCACCAGTACATAATAATAGGAGTCATATTACAATTAACAGCACCCTAATGCGAACATATCAGAACATCCATAATAGAAAATTTTTAATTTCCGGTAATTTAGCTCGATAACGGCCTGTGATAAACAGTTTTTATCATCCACCCAAAAAACAATAAGCATGAAGAGATACACCAAAGGCGGAAGAATGAATGCAGTTTGCAGTTTTGCAAAAATTAATCCTCTCTTTCCTGCCATTTTCCTTCGAGAGTTGCAACAAGGCTTTTCCCAAATTAGCATTGTCTGGATCTGGTTCAATATGCCTCGCTTCTTAGGGTAGCATTTCTAGCACCTTCACGAGTGAAACCAGTAGTAAGTACTCTTCCAGCAGTAAGAAAGAGTCGATGACACAGACCAGTTTCTGTCTCTTCTCTGTCTGTCCTAGCTTCCGTAACAGTTTCTGTGCCTGCTTCGAAGAAAACTCTTGTAGTCGCTTTTGCTACGCCTTTTGTCCTGAGGGCAAAAGAGGGGAGCCTTTTCTTTGGCATTCTATGGCCCACGTGTAGAGCCAAACATTTCCATGCGGCCCACTGCCAGTTGTACACCCCTGCTCTATTGGAATCCAAAAATCTGGACAAGGTCTTTCTAGCTTTTTGCCTGTGTAAACCAATCTGTATCTTGAGGTTTCTCATGGTGCATAAAATATCATTTCTTGGGCCATCTGGGCATTCCTGTTGTAGTCCACACTTGTCTAAAACATGGTCCACCATTGCTGTAGTGGTAGACTCATGGGAAAAGGGAATTTCCGCATCTGCTGGAGCAACTCCTCTTTGGAAATATCCAGTCTAAAGAAATAAATCTGAGACAATTGGTGGAGATGTCATGAAGACTACGCTGTGAGTGCTGTGGCAGGTAAGGGCTAGAGATTTTTCATGATATGAAAAGCTGATATGTTGAGCGTTCCAAACGTATAATCCATTTCACCAAATTATTGCAACAATTTAGTGCGTCATACTGGAAGTTTGGTATCCAGAGAATTCATAAATTCATTTAATATTTAATATTAAGGTTACACACGGATAACGCCGGCGATCATTTCCTCTTTCCTTTCATTACCCGAACAGGAAGAGACTGCCTAGCTAATTTCTGGATGAAATACTCTCCAGTGTCGCTATGGAAACCCTAGCGATGGCTGAACATTGTATCCATGTTTTCGTGCTAAAGGGGAAAATGCTCGATTCCCTCAAATGAAAACCTTCAAAACTCCTCAAGAAACAAAATACGTGGAAGACCATTAAGACTATAATAATCCATGATGTACTCGTATGTGCAACATATAACAAATAAAATTGGATTGGCGCAACGTCCTTCAAATACCTAATTTTTGACGGGATTGTCCACAAAATGCATCACTGCGCAGTACTACAATACGCCTCCCCTGCCTAGAGCAGCTCAGTGACCACCAATTAGGCAAATTAAATTTGAGCTAGTCCAAAAGCGCACTTTTCGGATCATCCTTGGGAGCGAATTTACGTCATATAAGGAGGCTTTATCTACTCTTCAGCTGCCATCTCTGGCAGACAGACAACAAAATCTCACTTTAAAACAAGCCCTAGCCCTTCTAGCCAACCCATCTCGTCGTCATGTCCTGCCGCCCTCTGGCAGGTGTCCTCAATGACCATGCGACGTAATATTTCTCATCTCTTGCTGGAATTCAAGTACAAACCAATGCTTCTACAAATCAGCAGTCCCATATATGACGCCTCATGAACGCATCATCCATCTAACCCAATTTCTCCACTTCATCTCATATATCCTTTACTTAAACGATTTCGTAATTTAAAAATTACGATGGATAACAATTTGCTAGTGCACTAACAGTCCTGATTTTCAATAAACCATCATTATTATTCTACAGGGCGTTTCATTTAAATTGTACATCTTTGAACGCTCATATCTCTGAGAGGACGCAACCGTTCTTTACAAAATTTGACCACAATATAGAGCAACCTTTGCCAAATTAATGGACAGAGTTTCTTAATCGCAGCGCCATCTATTGAGTTGAAACACCGATTCTGACAAAACCTCTGAAACCAAGATCTTATCAACTTGATGAAATCTTTCAAAGCTCATCATTTGTTAGATAATGCCTTGATCCAGTGGTGCTGAAGATTTCATGATTGTATCTCATCTCCTTACTAAGATATCAATCGTCAAACCTTAGCCACTTAACCCATCCGCTTACACTTAATACTCTCAATGCCATGGATTTTTCCGATGTTTTGGCCTGAGCCCCTGTTACCATCGCCCTGACGCATGAGGCCTACGGCGCAAGGCTATAACTTTTTT